CCAGAGGTGGCTTATCCGTTCAGCCCTGCTTGGGTGGCTTTGGCAGTTGGTAGAGCTTGCAGGGCACACTGGAAGATGTGTAAGAGTCTCCTATATGCTGGACTCAGGGAGTGCAAGCAGATTCCAAGTCCCCTCATTGAATGGCAGATGTCTGTTTGGTTTGAATGCTAATGTATAGCTTTTAAAGTAAAGTGTGATAGAGCACTTTTAGCATGGGCTTTTTGAACATCTGTACCTGTCTAGTTGGCCACCAGTATCAAGTGGAGTGCCCCAGGAGTTGGTCCAGGGGCTGGTTTTGTTCAATATCTTCACCAATAATCTGGAAGATAGGATGGAGTGCATCCTCAGCAAGTTTGCAACAACTCACCAAAACTTCCTATGGGGTTGTGGGCAGAAAAGGAACTGTGTCTGGGAGCAGGAGGGGCTGGTGAGGCTGGGATCACAGGGTGGGGTCACAGGGTGGTGACAGCTTGGGGCCAGGCCCCACCCCCTGCATGATCCTGCCCTCTGGGAAGGTGTGGGTTGTGTGTGGGGAGGGGTGTGTGGGGGTGTGTGTGCATGTGTATGTGCGTGGGGGGGCTGTCTGGGTGCTAGAGGGTGAGGGGACAGATGGGGGGCAGGGGGAACATCAAACAGAGCTCACCCAAGTGGTGTGGTCTGTGGCTGGCCCCATAGTGCTCTCTCGCATAGAAGTTTATATGCCTGGGTGGTTCATGTCTCCCATGCCCAAGTGCTGGCGGGCCGCCCCGATACACCGTGGTGATGGTGCCTGGGGTTGCCAAATTCCCCGCCAGCCCACCCGGCGTGGCGCACATTGTATAAGCCGCCAACCGCCAAGAAGACTGGCAACCTGCAGTGGGGGTTCCTGCATGGCATCCTAGCCGCAGGCACATTTGTGTCCTACTTTGACCCAGCCACCTTGACAGCCTGGCCCTTCTGCTCGGGGGGTGTTGAGGAGACCCTTTTTCATGCCTTTCTTGACTGTCCCTGCCTGCAGCCACTCTTTGTCACCCTCAGGTGACAAAGGCGCTGGGCAGGAGCTTTTCGGAGACCACCTACATGTGCTCCTACCCATATCGGGTGGCTGAGAAGGGCCCCATCTGCCTGGCCAACCTCTTACTGGGTCAGGCCAAGTTGGCTGTCCTCAAGAGCTGCCGGGACCGGCTCAGATGATGTCTTGTGGCTTTTCGGCCTCCTCATGCAGGCGTGCCTCTTACTGGAGTTTGAGCATGCTGTGCTCCGGCAGGCGGTGCCTGTCTTTGAGACATGCTGGGCCCTTGAGGGAGTACTGTGCCATGTGGTGGACGGCTGTCTCAAATATGCACTCTGATGTCATGACCGGTCTGGGCGACCGGGCTGGCTTGGTGTCAGACTACGACTTCCAGCTCGTGCCACGTCCAGGGCCTTCTCCAGGCTGCTTTTTTGCTTTCTTTTTGTGTGGGGAGTTTGAAGGTTTTTGTTATGTGTATGATTGGATGGAGCAGGGTACAAATTGTTTATTTATAGTTATGACTGTGTGGCCGGCACTCTGACCACATAACTAGCATGTAAGTCTTGACGTGGCATGTAGTGAGGGTGTCTGTCATGGTGTGATGTGTTGAATGCAATGATATGGTATTCTTGGTTTGATAGTAATTTGGGTTTTTTTTGCTTTGTAAGCGGCCACCCTTTTTGTATCCCTGAACCCCTGAATAAAGTAGTTAAAAGTCCTTCCTTTCTTCCGCTTTGGATGCACTGGACCAGGCTCACTAGGAGCTGTGTGGGGTGATCCTGAGCCTAAGACTCCCCGGCTTCCTATCTCTTTTCTTTTCTGACTCCCACCTCTCTAAAGGTCTCTAGCCTCTGTTTATCTTGCTTTCTGACTCTTTTCTTGCTTTTTTGTAGCTTTTTCCCCCCCCTTTTCTCTCCTCTTTCTCCCATCCCCCCCTGTACTTCCGGTTTCTTTGTCTTTACAGCCTTTTTTCTTACTGTCTCTTTTTCTTTCTTTCCCTCTATCTTTTCTGTTTGCTTGTAGCGGGGAGTTATCTTTTCCATTAGCTTGCCTTCCAAGGGGTGTTCTTAATTACCCCTTCTTCCCCCACCCCTTTGTTTTCTATTTTTTTTCGCTGTTTCAATCCCCAGCTGCTTTTTTTCCTCCACCCCTTTTCCCCCTCCCATTTAGAGTTTTGTGGCTGCTTTCCCAGACACTTATCTTTTTAGTTAGTATAAACCCCCCACCCTCGTGCTGCTCCCTTGCAGCATGGAGAACACCTGAATGTGTGGTATATGGTGCTGCAGACAGGTCAGTGCCACATACCACATGGCTGCACTCATATGGACATGGCCAATGAGTCCAAGGTCTCTTTCCTGAGTCATAACAGCTAGTTTAGAACGCTAATTCTTGCCTTTTAGTGCCATGTTTAGCTCATGAGTACTTAAACACAGTCTTTCAATAGCAATGTGGCACTAAGTGGTTTTAATTGCAATAAAATTGCCTCCCTATGAAGGTGCAAACTACTAAGCTCTACTTAAGTAAATGGTCAAACTTCCATGAATGTGAACCAGGCTGGGATTTTACCCACTGTGAAATGGATCCAATATGTGGCTCAGTCAAGTCAACATCTGCTGTGTAGATCCTGAACATAAGCCCTTTGAGGGGTCTGGCTTTCTTAATATGTTAGCACAGCATAAGCATCAAAATGCAGGGCGAACTTTCTCACTAAACCCAACAGTTCATATGATTCCCTCCTTGTGGCTGCTAGGCCTGACTTTAGATTCATCATTCTAGGTTTCCCCTCTTCCCTCTCTTACATCCAGGTTTGAGTTTATGTCCTTCATCTGCCCCAGTGAGTCAGCAGGGCTGAGTAAGTTTTCCTTGAAGCTAATAGGTTGGAACCAGAGAAGAGCCTACTCACATTTACAGGCTCTCTAAAAACCATTCAGAGATGAATAACTATCAACATATGTGATAAGTCAGTAAATGCAATCCATTATGTTCTCAATAAAACTAATGCTGAGATTTACTTACTTTGGAATTATGGTTTTTCTTGTAATCTCATCCCTTCAGAATGATGTCCTCAGAACTACAGAGTGAAACAGGCTACACATATCTCCATTTTAACCCACCATCATTGTCTTCCTTTCATTGGTTGCTACCAATATTAGTCTCAATTGAAAGAAAATGACAGGACCAATTATATATTTTTATGACAACACCTATTTATACTGACAATGTTCATAAATTGCTTGCAGGACAAGTCAATGGAACTTAAAAGGAAACTTTCTCTCTTGCAAAAGTGCTGCTTAGCTGGTTGGAATTTGGAAAACATAAAATAGGCAGGACAAAAACCACAAGGAGAATGCAAACATTTATCTTTTATTTGCATGTGCATTTTTTTCACCAGTAGCTGGTGCTCACAAAATCTTTTAAGCTGACAATAACCTTTAGTAAACTCAATGAATACTGTTTAAAAATATCTAGTGATAAGAAAATTACAGAAAAATCTTCCACTTGCACAGTTTAAAATGTGCAGAATCTAAAAATCATTATTTTTATTCAAAGATGATTAAAAGATTGATTTTTGTCTTTAGTATAATTTTTTTTCCTGGTCTGTTACTGCCTCTATTGATGCAGCCTTTTTCCTGAGTTGCCCAGACTACAGAATATAAGCATTTAATATGCTCTGAGTCAAATTCAGGCAAATAGAAAGGGGAAAGATACAATGGAGGCACAGTTGTAATCTTCAAATGCCATAATTTCTAAGAAATGCCAGGATCAAGCTAGCACTGTTTCCCTAATCAAGAAGGGCTGCTATAGGCTACAAGTTGCTGTGGGAGACACATTTGCTGTGGTCTGCTTTCCTCAGATCTACCAATCTATGCAAAGCCAGGTCACTTTTTACATCAGTAAAGACAGGACACAGCAAAGATTGAAGCCCTCACAAATCCAAATCTTTGAGGTACTGAATGTCTTGGGTCCTATCAGCTCTGAAAAGTATTTATGGCACTGGGAACATCATGAGATAGGGTTTATTTTGTAAAGTTAAACGAGACAAATTTAGTGGTAAGCTGAAAAAGAAACAGGATATAAGACATTTAGATTTAAGAGGATTTACATAATGTTTGACATTCTTGTCTAGTTTTGTTTCTAATTTGCACTTTTTATACGACATGAAATAAGGGGCTTTTAAATTATTGGCAAATCTGTCTGGGAAGGAAACTCAGAGAAATCAGACCAGCAGCATGCCAATGTTGTCTGTTTTTTTTTTATATTTTACTACAAGAAACATTGAACAACTTATTCACTACAAAATTCCATTGTAAGAAATAAACTAATTAGAGTGTTTTCATGAAACTGGATTTATGTTTCATAATCATATTGTAAAATGAGGTCAGTAGGAAAAAAATTGGAAAAGACATGGCTTTTGTATTATACATAATTAATATGAACTAATTAATAAATAAAATTAATTTATCATTGAAATAATTATGAAGCATTTCTAAAAATTTTAAAGGCGAATCTATTTAGGCCTACAGTTAACATGCAAGTTCATCTAACAAGCAACACAAAAAATTATCATAGTAGTCAACTGTTGTATTAACATTCAAAAAGGTTTAGACAGCAGCACACCTTTTTCTATATGGCAAACACATCATAACATTATTACAACAGTCTGGTTGAAATTTGGAAAATACCCGCTTGGTAATGAGACCTCGGCAATCAATTTGCAATACATGATATAAATAATGAAGATTATTTTGCAACAATGAGGTCAGTACAGACTAAAAGAAAGGGGCTACCCTATTGCTGGTAGATGACCCCATTTCACAAACCCTTTCTTGAACAAATGGACATGTGCTACCATACACAGTTCTGAAAACAATGAACTGTAACAAAACTATAGTTTAAAACATTCAACATAAATACTTATTTCCATTGTGTGACTGTAATTATCTCATCAGATCTAGTGATTCTAGGAGCTTGTTTGATGGGAAAAACATTACTGTGTTAGTACTGTTAGCACCCATCTCTGCCTCTGCTGTTTACACTCCTTTAAAAGTAATAAGTGTATTTGGCTGAAGCTGATGGAAAATTTGCTTGCATTCTAAGCTCCTAATTTTTTTTTCTCTTTTCAAAAGGGATAAAAAAGTAGGAAAGGTCTTGTTCAAACTTTTTCTAAGTTACATATTACTTCAACAAGCACAATGGTTACATGACATCAAAGTACTGTAAATTATCAAAAAGTACTGTACAGAAAATTACAAATTCATTTCAAAATACATTACACTGCTATGATTGAGCTAAAAAGTGCTTTTTGCCAGAAAAGTGATCTTCCAAAATAGAAGTGCCATAACATTAGCTTTTTTTCTTCAATAAAATCTTGGTGTTTCATCCTGGTTGTGCTATATTCTATTATTTTTTCTTATCAACCATGTTTATAATTGGGTCCTTCTGCTTTGATGGCTGAAAGACAAAGTGAACTGTCTATGAGAGATCTGCTCCACACAATAGTGCTAGAAGCCAGCTGATTCAATGGCAAAGAACTGTAGAAAGTCCTTCATAACTCTGGAGAGCGCCTCATTACTTTGTACACCGAGTTATTTCCAGAATGCTTTTGATGGTCATACATTTCCATTCTGTTGCCCTTCCCCATGGTTTCCACATAATCTCTGGGTTCCTTCACAAGTCTTTATCCATCCTCTGTACAGCCCTCCACCTGAAGGTTCATTCAACTCAGCGGTGCCTGTATTGTCTCATGAGTGGCACGATACAGGAAGGAGGGCCTGCCAATTTCAAAAATGGATGCCTTAGTAGTTCTTGTGCTGTTGCTCTCTGTGAGGGCTCCCTCACCAACATCAAGTCTAAGAACCCTCGAAGGACTGAGGATACCTGCAACATCACATTGATATTATGAAAAGTAGAAAAGAAGACAACTTAAAATGATACAGTGGTTTTTTTCTCCAACTTATTTTGCTGAAAGACAAGTAAAATATATTTTAACTTCATGTAAAATTATTACAGGAATTACAGTTCATACCTACATAGAAATTAAAGGGCATTTATCTTTTATATATTAGTAGATTAAAAGTATTGACACCTAAGTGTGGACACAGACCAGAAAACAGGGCACTTAACATATCTTGGTATAGTGTCAGTTAGCAGAGTAGTACTTTTATTGTCACTGGGAGCATCTATATGAGACATTTACTGCACAGTTGACTAATTAACTGTGCATTAAAATCTTGCTGTCTACATATGCACCCCTATTATGGCACACAAAACAAACTCCACAGCAGGGTAGTATTTGTAAATACGTACAAGTACTACCTTGCTGCAGAATTTTTTCATGGACAGCAGCGCACATATACATGCTGCCCTGGCTGGCTGGGGCACAGGGTGTTTCAGTTCAGGGCTTGCTGGCAGACAGCCCCCACACTAAAACACCCTCATGCCCCAGCCAGTCACACCACAGCACATGGAGCCCAGTTGGAGCAGCCTGGGCTGGCAGGGGACCCAGAAAGTCAGCCTGCCATCCCAGGGCTGCTCCAACCAGGCTCCACATGCTGTGGAGCAGCTGGTTGGGCCAAGAGGGTGCTTTAGTGTGGGGGCTGCCTGCTGGCAGGCCCACACTGAAGCACACTTGTGCTTCAGCGGGTCCCCTGCCAACCTGGGCTGCTGTGACTGGACTCCATATCCTGTGCATGAATAAACCCTGGACCAATACGTTGCACAGCTTTTTACTCCCAGGCACATGTTCAAATGGCACACATGGGAGCAAAAAACTCCACAGCTTTTATTTGTGCTAATTAGTCGCATGCACAGATGTGCTCACTGAGAAATCGATTCTGACTTTGAGTCCATCCAAACAAACAGAATGGGAGGTGATTTGGCTTTTCAGTTTGTATATGTAGAGGTACATCGAAGTTACTGCATCCCTGCGTAGGGTAAAAATGAGTAGTAATATATTGTTGGGATAGACAAAAGCATAGCACTTTACGTGGCTTATGTATACATATGGCTCAAGGACAAGACAAAGGCCACAATCAGGCCATTAGCTTATATCACCACCATCAACTCATGGACTCAGTTCATTTTGAAGTACACAGGGCGTCATGGAAAGATGAGCATTCTAACCTTATGTATGTCCTTCACCCGTGGAGGTAAGTTATCTCGGATTCTGCGCATTGCTTGGAGCGGTGGTTCATTGAAGTATGGTGGTTCTCCATCTATCATTTCTATGACCATGATACCAAGTGACCAGATATCCACCTGTAATACACAAAGAGCTACTGAACAGTGCAACCCACGTAAAAAACAACTATTACAAGATGAGCATTTGAAACATGTTTAAACATGGGTATTTCGTTAAGCAGCACCCTGAGTTGATTTCAGTGGGTACTTCTGCTTAAAGCCTGATGGTACAATATGATCCACTGAGACAACTATTAACTTTTTACCAGTTGATAATAGATTTTGCTCCTAAGAAAACAGGGTGTTCTCAAAACATATTTTAGCAATGAATTACAGACCAGGTCTTTAGCTGGTATAAATCAACAGAATTCTACTGGAGCCAGTCAGTTTGGGTTAGATTTTTGTAGGGGTCACTGGCTTTAGCAAAGCTCCACCGATTCACATCAGCAGAAGAACTGACCTACTGACACATAGAAATCTCTATGCTGCCAAGACTAGGGAAGAGCATGACATACTGTAGGTACCCCAAAACCAGTTTTTGTAACCCTGTTCTGCACCCTGCCAAATAGTAATGGACTTGACTCTCAGTGACATTAATGTCTCTTTATGCATTAACACAGAAGTGCTTTTGGGTCATCAGATATTTTCAAACAATCACTTTGTAGAATTCAGTGGTGCTAAACCTTCTGGCCCTGCAGGTCAGATGAGTGGTCTGCAGGCCAGATCCCATGTGCAGTGTCAGTCTAGGAGCCTGATCCAGTGCAGGGTCAATACACAGGATCAGTCCAGCTAAATCTGGCATTGTGCACCAGCCTGGCCCCACACAGTGGATCTGGCTGTGGAGTGAACCTGAAAGCCAGGCCCACTACACACCAGTATGATCTACCATGCAGGGGCATGTCATCGGGCCTTTCAGTAGATCTGGATATCTGGCAGCGGGGGAGTGGCAATTCACATTGCCACTATTCCTTTGCTGCTAAATTTCCAGACCAGTAGAGAGACCAATGGGCTGGATCTGGCCAGTGGGCTACAGATTAAGCACCACTGACATAAACCATTTGGTAAATTGACAAAACCCATCTTATGCAACCTTAAGCTTTTTGTCCCTACAATTCCTACTGGAAGATGCACCAAATGTTCATTTGCTTATCAGCTATAAACCTTCTAATTTCTTGACTAAATATATCGATGGTCAGTTTATACCCATTTGTTGGGGGCCAACACTGTCTTTTTGCTTAAATGGGTGTGGATTGTAGCCATGTTGGTCTAAGGACATAGGCAGACAAAGTTCTTTGGGTAAATCTGATATCTTTTATTAGACCAACTCAAATAGTTGGAAAAATTATTCTTAGCAAGCTTTCAGGTTTAAATATCTTTCGTTAGGCTGAGGAAGCATCTGCAGTTGGTGTGTGCTCTTTCTGGATGGAATGAATAGTCATTCCAACCAGGAAGAGCACACACCAACTGCAGATGCTTCCTCAGCCTGACGAAGGGTCTTTAAACCCGAAAGCTTGCTAAGAATTTTTCCAACTATATGAGTAGGTCTAATAAAAGATCTCAGATTTACCCAGAGAACCTTGTCTGCCTTTTGCTTAAATAGCATTTTTCCCTTGGGAGTGGTCACCTTCTAATATACACTGTGGCCAGGTAAAAGGACCAGGAAGAGGAGTCAATGTCAGGTGTGTCCATTTTTAGATCCTGCCTTTAGGGCATAAAGAGACTTTAGTGTAAAAGAGACTAAGGCCTAATATCATTTGCATCCTGTTTGACTTAAAGGTACATGTATTAGGCCAAAGTCAGCTTTCACTGGCAAGATATTAAATCAGAGTACCAGAGATGACAATGGAGTCCTACTGGTTTTAAAATGCTCTAACTTAAAACAGAGTTTGTCCCCTGCGTGAGACATGAAGATACAGTCTGTTCCTTACAACTTTACTGCGTGACTCTTTCCCTTGTTTATATGCACCATATATCTGTTCTCCACAGATTGTACCATTGGTAATGCAAAATAGAGAAGATAAATCCTATTGCCATGTGGCGTAGAAAAGGGGGAGCAGAAGTCACTTCTTTGGCTGGGAAACTGTGAGTCACTATCATTACAAAGAGAAAGGGGATTACTTTTTCATAAATACAGAGTAATCTCCATTTTTGAAATGCTGTGACTCAATCCTTAATAAAAAATGGGTTGTAACATTCCCTGGAACCCATGTGTACTCACAGTCAGCTCCCTCTTGCTCATCTGAAAGTCTCCAATGAAACGTGTCAATGGGCTATTATGCTGACAGTTTGGCAGTGCTCAAAATAGCTCCATGACACACAGCAATTTTTACTGCTACTCATTTTCATGAGCTGATCATGTTTTCAGTTAAAATACTGCCTCTTTGAGAGCAAATGTAATCTGTGCCTTTATGGTGTTTAACACGACAAAACTATTTTCTTTCATCCACAATGACAGTCACAATTTAAGGTTCAGCAGAAATCTTCTGAACTGCTCAATATTTCTGTTGAGGAAAATAATGCACAGATTATTTTCCTACATACCACTAATCAACAAGAATATTTGGAGGTACTCTGGCTTTTACCACAGGCAACTGGTGGGGGGGCATGGCGATGGTAGGTGCCCCCCCCGAGATTGTTCCCCACCTCAGCACTGCTCAGGACGGGGCAGATTTTTTGCTGTGGGGGCCAGTGCTGTGTTGGAGGCTGGGGGGGCACTAAGCCACGGCAAAGAAGTATAGGAGTGGATATAGATCTTTTGGCCCACCCCTGGGCCCACCCACAAATTGTGCCTCCCCAGACTCAGGAGGCACCAGTCACCCCTGGCTTTTAGGTTTGTGCTAGATTCTAAATGGGAGGTGGAAGAGAGAGGAGATGGAGCAGGGGACACTCACTCATGATCAGATGGAAGATTTTATTTTGTCACCTTTTTAGGTGCTCTCAGTGTGAACACCTAACTGCACAAACAAACCATAAGAAAAATTCCTGTTGGTCAGACTGCAGCCATAAGACAAAGAACTGTCAGTTTCTTTCAAATAAACCCACAGATAAACTATAGGTGTATAAGCTTAGGATCTGTAGGAATTTCTCTACATTCCTTTTTTTTTTGGTTGAAACATATATTTTCAAAGTTGATGCCTGCAGATCAGACCAAAGGTTAGATCACAGCTGCTTATGTGGTCTGTCTCTGCGACTCCAGTGGTCCAATGGGACTAGCTTCTTGGGATTTCTGCAGGGCTTCTACCTGTGTGAGTCTCCTTCCTCATATCATCTGAGCTCAGTGTGCAACAGTACTCGTTAATGGTACATGAATGAATGTTTTTTACCAGTTGTTATCCCTTGGTTGTTATTCATGTTAATTTGGGACAGTACTCAGTAGGGCTGTGCGAAATGGTGATGTTTCATTTCACTTTCGGATTCGGCCGTTTTGGAGGACAGTGATTCGCTTTGGTGTCTCGGATCACTATTCCATTTCAATTTGGCCGAATCTGTTTCAGAGTTTTGACACTGTTTCAGAGATTCAGATCAGCCAGGGAAAGGCAGGCACAGCCAGGTGGCTGCAGGTTGTCCCATGGCTCCTCCAGCTGTGCTTGTTTCTGCCCCAGTGGGGGGAGCCGCAGGAGAAGCCCCCATGGCTGCTGTTCCTGGCCCCATCCCCTGCCCGGCCCCAGCCTCTTGGCACGTAAAAAAAAAAAAAAAAGCCCTGCACTCTCTGGCTGCAGCAGCAGGGATCAGAGCATCTGAGGTGTCATGGCAGAGCCCCCCTGTGCCGCACAGGGCAGTGGGAGGCAGTGGGGATTGCCCCCCACTGCTTGGCACCTGTGTGGCAGCAGTTGCATTGCGCGGGTGTAGTACGACTCAGCAGGGAGCCATGCACTGTCTGGGAGCAGGGGAAGCTCCAGCTGTCAGTCGGAGCTTGGCAGTGCTCAGCCCCAGAGGCCCTAGCTCCCAGACAGTGCACGGCGCCTTGCTGAGCCACACTGCACCCGTGCCATGGGGCAGCTGCCTTGCAGGTGCCAAGTGGAGGGGGGGAATTTCTGCTGCCCCCCACTGCCCTGTGTTGTGCAGGGGGGCTCTGCCACAAGACCTCAGAGGCCCTGATTGCCGCTGCTGCAGCCGGTGAGCTTTTTTTTTTTTTTAAAGAGCTGGGGGGCAGGGGCTGGTCAGAAGTTGGGGCCAGGCAGGGCAGCCATGGGGGCTTCTGCTGCAGCTCCTCTGGCTGTGCCTGCCTCTGCCCCGGTGGGGGGAGCTGTGGGAGAAGCCCCCATGGCTGCCCTGCCCAGCCCCATCCCCTGCCTGGCCCTAGCCTCTCGGCATTTTAAAAAGAAAGCTGGGAGGCTGTGCTGGACTATTCCTGGGGAACGCCTCCGAAACATTCCTGAAATGTTTTGGATGGTTTTGTTTAGTTTTGGAGATGTTTCTGAGCCTTCCATTTCATTTTGGATCCGGTGTTTCAGGTGCCGAAATGGGCTGAAACACCTCTGAAATGAAACGGTTGCTGAAACTTTGCATAGCCCTAGTACTCAGAACCAAACTTCTTCATCAGTCTTCCCTAGGGCCTTATCTATAGCCAACTAAGTCTTCTTCAGTATTACTTAGAATATATTCCTGGTCTGAAATTGAAGTACATTCAAAACAAGCCTACCATACATTTCATTTTGCAGTTTTCTGATTCTTGATGGTCAGCTGGAGAGTTAGGAATCAAGGCCAATTGTAATGTTGATAACCTCATCTAAAGCATCTAAAGCCTGGTGTAACTGGGTCTTAGAGGAAAAAGTCATCAGATTCTACACAAAAAGTTTGAAGGATCAGCACATCCCCTGTCTGCGTAGGTAAGGAAATCCCTGCTTGTTAATACAGAACAAGAAGCTGGCTGTAACCCTAGAGAGAGGAGTAAAGCCCTATTAGTTTATATCTTAAATAGAATATGAGGCACGATGCAATTATTTGCCATATGGATGCTTGGGGATTTCTAGCTTCCAACCTTGGCATAGCTCTTTACAATAGAGCAGAGCTAGGCCAATATTTAGCACTCTTTTCAACTTTCTAGCTTGTTTTCATGCTTATATCTGGGGCTCCTTAGAGTCACTATCACTACTAAAAATCAGAAGACTCTAAATGCCCAGTTATGCATTTGCACTGGCAAATACTTGATATATGTGTGAAATAGGGGCAACAATGTGTAAACAGTGGGTGAGTTATTAGGTTTGCATTTTTATGCACGTGACTGCCAGATCAAGTTTGCAAATCACAGAGATAATGTAAAGAGTATTAGACTATGTTAATTAACAAATAAATTATGTAAACTGACTTTTACCATGACACTAGTTAAAAAAATACACCTGGAGCATGCATTGTATAGCATTCCAAGTACAGAATGTAGAATCGTAGAAAGTAGGGCTGGAAGGGACCTTCACAGGTTATCTAGGCCAACCCTCTGTCTGAGGCAGGATCATCCCTATCCACACCATCCTATACAAATCCATTATCTAACCTCTTAGTAAAACTACCTGTTTTATCAAACTCCCAGGATTGCTGTTTAATAACAAGTCATTATATAATGCTGTTGCTTTGAGGTATACCTATCAGTTGCTGCTGCTTTACTGCAGATGTAGTATATACAAGTCAGCTACATTTTTACCACATAAATATACTTAAAACTATAGGTACATTCTCAGTGATCACTTAAAATATTTTCCCATCTTACTTATTTCTAGAGCAGGTGTGGTGAATCCACAAGTGCCACAAGTGGCATGGGCAGCTTGTGTATGTGGCATGTGATAGATCAAGGAGGGGACAGCAGCACAGCAGCAGATAGCAAAGGAAGCAAAAGGCAGAGCATGAGATCAGGTAAGGAGTACTGGGCAGGAAGCAGAAAGCAGAGCTGCAGATTGGGCAGAGGAAGGGGATCAGAGTGGCACCTGGGGAGCATGCAAGGCTAATTTCTGGCATGTCTACCAATGGGTTTCAGACTGCCATTGGGATAATACACTTGTGAAGCTCACCTCTGTTCCATACGGCAGTCTTGATATTACCTCTGGCGCCATCCAGTATGGTGTTCCAACCAGGGATTTCCTTTTTGGGACTTCCTTTGACACTTGGGCACAAAACCCAAAATCTGATAATTTAATCTGAAAATAGAGCAAAAGGAAACCACAAAGGCATGAATGAGCAACCAGTTGGAAGGTCTGAACACCATTGTGTACTTGACAGTACTGAACACTCACAAGCATGTCAAAAAAGGGGGCCTAGCTGGCTACCCACTTCAGAGGCCTGATGTGTTGTATGTAAGTCGGGGTGGGCAAAATACAGCTCACAGAGGGATTTTGTCTGGCCCACGGCAGGTCCCTTGGTCCCACCCAGCCCATGAGCAAGGAACAGCCTGGGCTGTGGTATGTGAGGCTGGTCCTGCTGCTCCCAAGCATGCAGTGGGGCTAGGGCAGTACAGCAACTGGACTCTATTTTCTGGCGGCCCCAGTGTTGGTGGCTCCTTCTGGCTGCTGCTGCTGGACTCAGCCCCTCTGCCTAAGCACCCCAGCCCATCTGCCCCACAACCACCACCACGGGTGGGATCCACATGGGCAGAGCAGCTGAGGTGGGGTTGCGGGCTGTTGGGGAGCAACATCCAGGAGCGAGACAGTGAAGAGGACTGGGGAGACCCCAGGATCTTGGGGCAGTGAGAGTGTGGACAGGGGTGTGCAGGGAGTGGATTGCAGCTCTGCTCTGGCCCCAGCCCTGCACTGTCACTGCCACAAGATCCTGGCCCCAGCCCCAGATGCAGCACCCCACCTACCTGCCTGCACAGCTCTTGGCTGATCTCCATGGAGACTGTGCAATCACAGGGCTGTAACAGCACAAGGCTGGGGCCGGGGTAGAGCCCCAGTTCAATGGGCACGGATGTGCAAGACAGTATCACAGTTCTGCCCCAGCCTTGCCTACCCTGCTCCTGTACACCACTCCCTGCCCCCTGCAGCCCCATCCCACATTTGCTGAGTTGTTGTGCCAGGGGGGTGGGGGTGGGGAGAGGTGTTGACTCAGCTTGCGACAGCTCAGCAAAACTTCCCATGTGGCCCACAGGCCCAAATAATTGCCCACCCCTGATGTAAGAGAACACCCTGGTTTGAACTGATCTGTCCTCAGCATACCCCATTCTCCCTCATCTCTACACTGGAAACTCTAGCTCCTTACCTGGTTGCCTGACTAAAAGCCTTATGTTCTACACTGGCTGGGTCAGATATGAAAAACTGCTTTAAATATGGCTGCAGTTACATTTATTCACTATTTCTCCCACACTCCCACAGACATGTTATATTGTGGCTGCCTGCTGCGACCCCCTGACTAGAGTCAAACCTCCTGCTATGTCCATATTTAGCCACATCCTCAGCCCAATGCATGTGAAATTTCTATGAGGGATTAATTCTCCAAATTTTCACCCTAACTTTTTCACTCTTGGAGCTTTCTATATTGAAGGGTGTGACTTTGCTGCCTTATATTTGACCCAGAAGTAAATGAGCCTTGTATTTATGCCGTGTGTAGCAAAAGCAGTACATTTAAAAAAAAACATTTCTGAAAAATGATGAAGTGATAAAATATACAAGCTTGCACATGTGTGTTCTGCAACATTAAACTCTTGGGTTTATATTGCCTTTGTTTACAAGGAATGCTGTTTTCATGAATATAAAACTGCTTATTCAATACACCTGTTAGTAAGACTGACTCCTTAAAGTTTACATGCATGAATAGTTTGAAGATATTGGTGGTGGAAGACAATTTTTATGGAAGCCATTGTGCATTAAGAGATCATTTATTGCTGTGCATTGTGCAATGCGATAGCACTGCTAGGATGAGCAGTGGAAGGATCTACCTTTGGGATTGTTCAAGATGAAACACTTTGCCTATCATGCTATCAACTCATTCACTATGTCAGCCTGCTGTCTGGGGACAAGGCATGAGCCCAAATAGCTATATAAGGCATTAAAGAGGAAACTAAATAAATTGCTGCATTGTTTAGACCAGCATTTTATTATCAGCATTGATTTGTTTTCTTTTGGCTTCAGTGCAGACATTAGTTTTCATTGAAGGCAGTTTTTTTTAAAATCAGAATTTAGAAATAATTGTTGGTATTTTAAAACAAAGCAAATAATATCCAAGTTCTCCAAGCCAAACATATTTTTCAGTTTACTGCATGAAAAACAGAAGAACTAACGCATATTTTGGAAGCTGAGCCGCTTTCTCTTTTGTAGGTTCATAAGAGGTTCTGCATATCCATTGCTCATCCAAGTACATCAAAGAAGACAATTTTCTAAAAAAAGATAATTGCACAACATATCCACATAGAAATCTGCATTGCAGATAATAAGTACTGGAGTAATGAGTATAATGAGGCATTGTATGCAGAGACTGAAACCCAATCAGATGCTATTTCAGCAGCACTACTCTAGATGTGACTGAACAACTTCCACACACATGGAGTTTTCTTTCCCTGGATGCCTCCTGGTATGTGAAGTCTGTAAGGAGAAGCAAAGCAGAAGAGACAGTCTTTGAATAGAGCACTAGCTTAGGGGTGAAATCCAGGATGTACCAAAGTCAATGGGTGTTTGGACTTTTCGAATCAGGAGATCTATGTTTGATTCCTAGACTTGATTCCTTACACTTCCTAGAATCTTGGCCAAGATACAACAGATACAGATTGTCCTGGTGGGCACCAATATTTAGGATTCTAGGTGCTTTGTCCCATAAGGTGATCCTAGGATCAAGTCCCTAAGTTCTCTATGAAGTCAGTGGCGAGAACTAAGTGCTTCCTACAGGCAAATCGGAGCACTGAGTTCTGAACGGAGGCTCTAAGAGGTAGGCAACATAGGCCTGGGGTATACCTGAACATAATAGGTGCCACCATCCATTTGGGATCCAGAGCACCCACCTAATGCACACCAAAAGCACTAATTTCAATATGAAGTGCAGCATCTGCAGCCATACTTACATGTAAACATAGGTGATACTAATGGTGCCTACTTTACATGCTAATAGAGGGGACTTACACATGTGCCCGGTGCCTGCTTCCACAGCCTTGGCATCACATGTATTCAGCATCCCCATGCTTCAAAATGGTGGCAGAGGTGCTTTAACTAAAGCTTGTTGAATGAGCTTTGCTTAAAGTGCCCCGCTGCCATTTTGAAGTGTGGGATGCTGAATACATGAGACGTTGTGGGTGCTTTAATTAGAGGGGCTCCCAAGAGCCTCTCTACTTAAAGTGCCCCTTCTTTCCCTCATCCTGGAGCACATGTTAAGATGCCCCTAGTGATTATAGCACCTAAACATGGGTTTTAGGTCCTCCTTGGAGCAAGAGGATTTAAACCCACCCATCTCTCCCATTTCTAAGGAGATTGCCTTAACCATCAGGCTAAGGGACAGATACCAGTCTGTTGTAGGTAGACAGAACCACAGGGGCAGAAGCAGAGGAAACAAAAGGTAGCCAAGTAATGAAGGCTTTCCCTCCCCAGTTCTGATGTAGTCTGGGGTAGAGCTTGGGGGGTGGGTTTAGGTACCTAGCTGCATGAATTGGATCACTTCTGAGCAGTCTCAGAAACCTAAGTCGAAGAATGTAGGGACCTTTCAGATTGAAATAAAGGTGTGTGATGAATTTAGTTGCCTCCCCTGGATTTTTTTTTGTACCTGCTATGTCAAAATTCTGCCTAAGTCCCATTCAGAAATCCAATTGACTACTTTAGGTCTGTTATTCATGCATAAAATGGAGATGCCTTTCTTCCTGTCTATTCCTAAACCTGAATATTACATTACATTTAAGTAGGAACTCACTCTTAATATAGACCACCTAGCCCAATGGGGATGCAATCTTGGTGTGAAGCTTCCAGGCACTACTGGGATATAAATAATATATCATAATAAACTAGATACATTGGTCCATCTACAATTTGCAGTACAGGATAAGTTCTTATTTCCATTGCCTGACCAGTGCCCAGAATGTCTTCCATTACAGAGGGATCAATAAATCTTTGTTATTTTATATGCTACAAACCAAATGATCCCCTACCCAAAGGATGGTAAACAAAGCCATAACAGTGATGTGGAGGAGCTGTGAGATGGGGACAGAGAGCTGCAGATAATGTTTGCCTTCCCAATGTTCCCCTTCCCAGAAAACTACATGGCACTGAAAAAAAGTAGGAAGGGGGTAGCTGACCAGGCAGGGAGAGGGACAGGAAACAGCCACCCTGTATTGTACATTTCCTCCTCCACACTGACAATAATACATCTGAAAAATGGTGACTGGTTACTGCCGCCAAGAGTATTATTCATTTCTTTTCTGGGTCTGGTAATCCCTATCACAACCTTTGTCTAGGCTAGAAAAAAAACCCCTTGTTGACAACAGGCACTGGTGCAGCTGAAACAGTGCTACACATGGTTTAATTGCAGTACAGCGTTCAGATCCATTAATCAAGGTTTCTGAAATAGCACACTATGCAGTTTGTGCTTGGCTATACCTTTCCATCACAACCGTGCATCAATTTAATCATCATCCTCATCAGGAGGTGTTTATATATAAAAAAAGACCTCCTGAGGGTTGCTATGATCTGGCTTCCTCAGATATCGAGTTCCAGCTTTGTCTCTCGCATTCACCAGATGCCACATGCTTCCTGGAACTCTATGCATTGTACATAGATATCAAATCATCAAGTAAAGGCCATCATTTTGACTTTGCATGGAAAACCCTTCATTCTTGCATGGAGAACATGTAGGTCCTACAGGTCTACAGCAAGTGGAAGCAGAAATGGCTCTAGCCTTCAACAGCTGTGGATTGAAGCATCATATAGGATTTTAATTAAACTCTTAACATCATTTGGGGGTGGGGGGCAAACTTCTTGGCAGATGTGAGACCATTTAAGCCTGTACCCTCCCTGAGTACCACTGCAATCCCCCACCTGTGCTTTTTGCTCTGTGCTCCTTCTCTGATCTGTCGCATGCCACATGCAGAGGCTCCCCATGCCACTTGTGAAATGCCACTCGTTGCAGGTTGGCCACCCCTGCTTGACATGATGGTTTCACTGTCTGTATTATCACTTTCCCTGTCTGTTATGATCCTCCCAGTCAGAGATGAAGTACAAGGAGAAATGCTAGGCACTCACCCTTCCATCGCTTGTAAGAAGTATGGAGTCACTTTTGATATCACGGTGAATAACGCCTTGATTATGCAGGTAGGACAGCGCTTTCAGTACAGATAAACAAACTGTAGCTATCTGCTCTTCATTCATCCTAAAAATAAGGTGACCAGTGGTGACAGCAAACATCAACTTAAGGCAAGAATAAGACACTGAAGCAACAGATAAAGACAATAGGTTAGATCCTAAGTAGGACATGAGACAGGCCCATCCAAATCATTACATGGAAATTAATAGAGTAATCAAGTCATTCTGAGGAAAAGGGTTCAAATGTTTCTCCCTAGGAACTTCTCATTCTTCTTAGTGCTGTTCAAGACCTGTTGTCCTTGCCAGGTCTTCCCCGTGCCTTTAAGGTGTAGTTCTTATTTAAAAAGAAACTGTGTAAAAGTATCATGCTTTTGCTCGATAGAACTGTGCCCTGTGCACTGTCAAAGTGATATCCCTGGACTTCAGTATAATATATGCTTTTATCTCTGTTTGCAACATGGATAAGAAAGTAATCTGGATTCTATTCTTTCTTGTGCATCTTCAACAGAAGTGTTTACTGAATTCCAGACAGCTTCAGCCGATTGGAACTTGTGGTAAATGCATTTAAGACAAAAAGGTTGCAGAAGTATCACTGAGTGCTTATTGCAGGACATCAAATTAATGGGGTTGCACAAGTGTAATTGAGGGCACAGTCTGACCAACAGAACATTTGTTACTGGTGATAATGTGTGGGTAAGAAATAGTTCGAGTCTCAGATCTCAGGTTGAGTTAGCAGGGCACAGAGTCTTTTACTTGTAAATTGAACTCATGACGAATGTGGAACACCATGAGCCCATTTTGATAGTTCTTTTCCAGGGCATATTTGCACTTTTATTTCTTTAGATAATGGAGTGGGTATCCTTCTGCAAAGGTCAGGTATGAGGAAAAGTTTTGAGAACCAAGTTTTGATTAGTACATGTACAGCATTAATTACACCCAATGAATAGTACAATGTAACGTGTTACAGTTAGTCAATTTCTGACTCTGAAGAGTCATCTACCGTGAGTTCACTAGATGCCAAGAATGATAAATCACTGTGGGAAAGAAATCATGAAAGAAATAAGGAAGGGAAATGATACCTGAATTTCAGAGGAAATTTGTGGATTCATGCCCTATGTGTAATCCTTCAAAACTATTTCCTTTGCTATTATGTATAATACAAAGAAACATTAAAAATGAATTTCAAAAGCACCCCATAAAAGAGATGGTAAGATATAGTTATCTAGTCATCATTTATAAAGAAATAAATACTTCTGGAAAAATAAGTCTGTCGCATCATTATACTGTGGTTCTGGCAATGAAATGGGAGGGAGTTAATGAGCTGTAAGGCATTCTGTCGTGTGCTAAATCACAGCAGCCTTCATTCACTGAACATCCTGTAGCGGTCATTCAATGAGAGATGTGAAAAACAATCCATATTTCAGTTCTGAATTACTACTCACCTTGCCTTCTAGTCGAGCCAGTAAAAGGCACTTATTCTGTCAGGCCAGCCCAAACTTTCTCTACTACATTAACATTAAAAAAGTCCAAGGCGATTTCTGCTTTAACTCTGCTATGCAAATTTTGCAACATTTCAGCAAAATATTTGAAGGAAGGTCATAACATGTTCAAAAAGAAGATTAAGGAATGATTTCGGTGAATAAAAATTATGACAGCTCTTAAGTAGTCTTTAGTGATAGAGGCTTAAGAGGCTCAAAAGTCATAAACAGTTTGTACATTAAGCCCACAAGCTCCTCCAACAGATTGGGGATACTAAACCAAACACATGGGCAGCAATGGAGTGGGCTGACCACTGGGAAAGGTCAGATCTATTTCTACAGCCTTTTATACCAATACCAATTGAGTTCCTTGTTGTGTACAACCTTGACAGAAAAGTGTGGGTCAAGCTGAACAGACTGAGATCTGGATATGGACACTTCAAAACAACACTTCACAATATGAACATTTTGGACAACCTCCTGTGTGAATGTGGTATCCAACAAACAGCTCCAATCTTTACAAATGGCCAGACAGGGTCGATAGAATCCGTGTATTGAGCGGTACTACCAGACAGTGGCTCATGGATTTGGAAGTTGATATCTGATGCCATATGGAAGAGAGAGAGAGTGAGCATCTCTTTGCCATTAAACTCTTTGTCTAAAATATCTGACATAGTGATTATGGTGTGTTGGGTCACGCTAGTTAACAAATAACTTACAATGCTGTGATTTATTTTTGCTTATCAGTTAAGACAGGACTTAAAAACTGAGGGTGTATTTTGCAACTTCTGTTTTAACTGTGAGCTGATCTTGTCAATAAATTGCCAGATGACAAACTTCCATGTATGAATGGGTGTTCTTGAGAAAGTGGGAGTCTTTTCTTCTTGTTTAGATAAATTTTTCACACACAGATGTGTTAGATGATGACTTTTGATTCAAGAAGAAAGTATTTTTCCTGGTTAAATGAAGAATATACCTTCCCTGCCTACTTTTCTGAGTAGATGCTGGGATAAAAATGGGTGGCAAAGAGGGAAAAAGCATATGACGTAAATCTACTCAGAAGGGAAGTTGGAAGACAGGGTGAGACCTATGTGCATCCAGTTTATTTACTGATTAAACTGCATCTATTCTTACTAAAATTATCATATAACCCCTAGTGTGTCCATATATACTGATATAAAGATGCTTACACTAGTATATTTTAGGTTTAACCTTGTTTGGCCAGCAAAGTTATGTTGACTGTCAGTATGAAAGAAAAGCATAATTCAAACTAGCACATCAAAGTACCTGGTGTAGGTTATTTTACTCAAAGAACTAGTTAAACCTACATCAGAAAAAAGCTCTTTTACTGAAAGAAAGTGCCTCTCAGTCAAGGGGTTGGGCAGCTGTACCAGCAGACTCTTTCAAATGCATTTATTTCCCCTCCTGAATGGAAGAGGCTGTACCAAGATAAGTGCATTTATATTAATACAACTATTTCCATGCAAGAAAACATTGTAGTCCTTTAAGTATACTGGTGCAGCTAAATGACTGCAACTTTTGTTTATAGCTAAGGCCCTGCCTTGCTGTGGCTGGAGAAGGAATTTCCAACAGTGAGAAACTATGATTTCATCTGTTTCATTTTCTTTTGGCAGTTAAATGATAACATTCAGGGTTTGCTACCACATTATCAGTTTCAGGGGGTGAAGAACACAACGGAAACATGCTCTGATCCAGTTGGCCAATTCCTATGAGCCACTCTGTATTAGAGCTGAATTAGCAGAGGTAGGCGATATAGGTTAAAGAACAAAACACGGTTGTTCCAACACAGGTGCATTGTGGGTTAAGAGGTTCAGGGAGCAATTTCCTTCCCAGTTTGCTCAAGCAGTAGGTAGCCTAAATGTAGGCAGCACTCCATGATGCAAGATATATGTGGGAGGAAGAGATATTAATGCCAGTTGAAATTTAACAAACAAGATATTGGGTGTTGTCAAGGAAAACACAATTCATGTAAAAGCAGACTGCCAAGGAGTAGAAGCTTTCCTAGCACTGCTGAAGGCATTACTTCTGAATGATTCAGGCATAATAGCTTCTCTCACCATTGTTCAAGTGGTACACAAACACCTCCCGCCTTCCCTCACATTGCTCTGCCTCTGAGGAAAAATTTTAGCACTACCAAAGTCAATGATAGTTTTGTCCCTGGTTTCGATGAAGCCAGGATTTCACTCAAGTAGAGCCAATGCAGCAGTAAAAGTGTGGACGAGACAGGTACATGAGAACCAGGGGAAATGAACTGAATTTGATCCTAACAAAATGTGAACTTCTATAAATGCTACAATCATCCCCTCCATTACCTGTCTACTAAAATGTAAGGTAACATTTCAACGTTTCCCTTAGTATGACTGACGAGACATCACTCATTGCTGTTCAAGAAGTATAATGATTCTGGTTTGCTGAAATGCTATGCTATATCGTTGCTGCAGGAGAAACACAGGACCCTAAACTCTGTTCTGAGTGGTTGGTATAGGTCTTTCCATTCATCCTGAAAGATATCTGAACAACAGAAAGACAGAAGAATGGAATTGCTGTGTAGTGAGCATAGCCGGGCATTTTCAAATATAACTGGTTTAAAAAACTGCCTTTGATTACAGGGAGAATTTTTAAAAGATTAATTTCCAGTAAGGTTTTCAGAGTTTTTGCATTTTATCAGCTGCAAAAAAATAACGATGATACTTCAAAGGCCTGTATGTTGAAAACACCAAATTACATTAAAACTACTCATCACTTTTCACACAGTCATCCAGTGTCTATAGTGAGGGATAGATTTCAGAATCGCAGTCAGCTTCCCTGCACCTCTTGCAGTTTTCTTTCCAACTGGCAGGGCCATGAAGTGAGAGCAAAAAGCCATCTTGCTCCAGTTCCAGCACAGGTTTTATTGTGCTTTAAGTACATTGAACAATGAAACAATGATCAGGTAAAGCTAACCAAACATACCTTGTGTGAGTCACAATGTCTGTCAAAGCTCCACCTTCTAGAAATTCCATCACAACCCACAGCTCATCACCAACAAGGTAACTGTTGTACATATCAACCACATTTTCATGATGGTAATCCCTCATTATCACAACCTATGCAAAAACAAACAAACAAACCAAAAAACCACTGCAGGTGAGTGACCAGAAGTATCACTTGATTCTCACATTGCTTGAAACATTTGATTCTTCTTTTACTTTTTCATCTCTTTTTAACTTTTACCCTCAATAAATACTATATTGTGAGTAACACCATTGCTATAAAGGTATGCTCGCTTATATAACTGAAACAATATATTTTCATAAAAACTATGCTTGTGGGAAATAAATTAAGAGTGAGGGAAGATGTTTAACTTCTAAATTACATTTGGTAGATAATAGCTTTTCTTTTGGATATAAAGCCAGAAATGCTTATTTCATTGCTTTCTTTGCTTGTTGCTTTTCTATTCAGTACAGCAGAGATCTTATCAACTTAATAAGTCAGTCAATCAATCAAAGCCTTCCTTCATGGTTTAGTGAATATCATTGTGCAGAGAATTCAGAAGTTAAGTAATGATGTATGGCTTGCCTGTGACCCCCCTGCCTGTGTTCCCCACCCACTTCCACTTTGTACGACTGTGCTGCTTCCCGCATCATAGGTACCAAGCCAGGTAGAACAGCAGGTGCCTCAAAACTGCTATGTATGCCTCTTCTGGCTCAGCTGGACAGGATGGAGCAGAACAAAGTGGGAAATGGATGCACCCTTGACTGAACTAGGGTGACAAGAGGTTATGTTATGCCAGTTAGTGGCCAAACAGTGATGTTTGCTACCTGAGTACGGAAGCTGAAGGGAGATTGTGCTAGACCCAAAAACCACAATCTCCTTCCAGTTTCCCTACTACTCTTGGATAAGGGATTACATTGTCTATATCTACTCTATGTGGGAGATAAGTCAAGATTTTATACAGCTGTCTCGTATCAGCTTCATGCCACTAATCTTCCACTAATGTAAGGTCAACTTAAGTCTTTACACAGACAGAACAAGTTAAAGCTACACTTTAGCAGCTCTACTTTGCACCACAACTGGATGGCAAAAGAGGACCTGTAGCTGGACCCCTCTATATTCCTTCCACTAACCCAATGGAGGATATAGCCCCAAATCTTGGTCTCACTGCCCATCTTAACCTTACCTATTCAGCTGCTCTTAAAAACTCCACAATGAGTTGGGTTGTCTCCCGTGGGAAGCCAGGATTCTAGTAGCTAATAAGGAGTCTTGTGACTGTACATAAACAATTCTGATACCAGCTCTGAAAAAGGAATACTTCACCTGGTGACTTATTTCTGCATTTTGTTGTTAATTGTTTACAAGTTTAAAACTTTTCTGAAGAAGGTTAGATTGGATTTCTTTCAGCCTTTGAATGTTTTATTGGAAAACTAATAGAAATGATGATTAGAGCTACACTTATAAAATGCCAAATAGTTACTGTAAATGAGAAATAGTATTGACACAGTTAACATCAAGACTGCATCCAGAGGAGTGCGGCCGTGCAGTATCTGGCACCACAGACATGTCTGCAGTGCCACATACCACACGTTCAGGTGTTCTCTGAGCTGCAAGGGAGCAGTGCGGAGGGTTTTTTTGAACCCTGGATATCCAGGGGTGAAAAAAACCTGCTGAGAAAAAAAAAGGAGCAGCACATGTGGGGCAGTGCATGCCGCTCAAAAGTGGACCTGGGCCACCCGGAGCTACGCTGCAGCTGCCAGCCAAGATCCAAGTGATAGGATAGCACAGTGCTGGCTCCAGCCTCCCCTACTACTCCTAGGGTAACTTGTCATGTGCCAGAGTGCATGTGGCATGGGCACTGCCCTGGGACAAGTAACTGCGGTGCAAGGTGCGCCACTGCCTGCTGTCCCCAGGAAACCAAATGTCCACACCATGTGTGGATTCAGCCCATGAGGCCTATTATAGTAGTAAATCCAATGTGCACTAGTAGAATGGACACCTATCTTCATTTATTAAAAACTAGGTTCTATGACCCATTTAAGGTAAGATGGCTTATTTGATACATGTTAAAAGCATCTTATTCACTTTAGTTAGAGAAGGCCAGGGCACACATGCAACTCCTTGAAGTCAATGGGAGTCACAAATGCATGAGATCTGCAGGATCTGGTTTATATTACTTGTTAAATTTCTAAGGGACCTATTACCATGGCATCTAAAACATCACAGGATATGGACTGATTTTTAATGGGGACACATGGATGAGGTACTGTGCTAGCCTCTTATAGAACTTCAAACCATTTACAGTTCTATATTATTTTTTCCTTTAAAATTTGTTGTGAGATGCCTGTTTCTATGTCTCTGACTAATCATTTCCTTGCAGTGCCCATATCTTGCCCTTTAAATATATTTCATTACCATTTCAGTTGGATAGGAGGTCTAAAACTCCCTCATCCTTACATTTTATGTGGATTGCACATCGTCTTTCTTTGTGAAATTCCTACTGACTTCAGTGGGAGGTACCCGAATATAAAGGCTACAGTACACAAAAGATTGCAGCTTCATGAGACAGCAAGTTACACCAGCATAATATTCGTATTGCACTGTTGCAAATGAAGGAACTGTGAAACTTCCTTAGTTAACACCACCAGTGAAATCAGTCTTTGGGTAAACTCACTTGGAAATTAAGGCCACATATTCATGTAGATCATAAGCTGACTGAACAGCCCAAGTACTCAGGCAAATTTTCTTGGGATTCTCAGCCTCAGCCTGCAACAGTGGATGCAAATTTCTCTATGGCCACTACTACAGAGCTTGGAAGGAGATGCTCTGAAGTACAGAGAGGTGTCTCCTGATATTCTCTTGAGCCAATGGATCTACTTTGAGTACAGAGCAAATGCCCACCTCTTCCTTTCCCACTCTCCAAGCTTAAGAGAGTACAGTCTAGTGTTGTAGATGGCAGATAGAGTCCTCCTGCATGTGTTCTCTTTCCTGTCTTAATTACATGCTCTACTCTCACAAGGTGAGACTTTTGGGGCCTTCCACATTCCCAGGGAAATGATTTAGCCCTTGTATTGGGATGAACAAGACCCACCAACAGGCATGGATATCACAAAGCCCACCATGATGGGAAGCTCTTGGTTCAATTCTACTACTCACTGGGCTAAAGCCTGCTCAGCTTTAATGTCCTCTGTGACTCAACTGATTGATTTTGCATTTGATTACTGAAGGAATTTTCATAAATTCATATGTCTAGAGGCCAGATGGGACTATTAGCTCATTTAGTCTGAATTTCTATACACTGAAAATGTTCACTCACCACAAATGCAAATTGAGCTCACAGCCCCTATCTTGGAAGGTTGCTGCTCTATGTTGAGCCCATGTAGGTTGCCATTTTGTTTCTGTTTGTGATCCGTAACCCATAAACTTGCATCCCCACCCAAAATGGTTTACCTCATTGAAGAGTAGTTCCCTTCTCTGCTGTTTCCTGAGATCCATTTTCTTCACTGCAACTTGCTTTCCTGTGTGCTTCTCAGTGGCAATGCAAACAATTCCAGTGGAACCTTCTCCTATTTTGATAAAGTTGTCCAAGTATTCCCTAGGGTCACCAGGGCTGACAACTAGCTGCAGGGCAGCTCTGAACTGTTCATGAGACACCCTGGAGGGTTGCTGATCTGATGATGAAACCCAGCTGGGTGGTGGATAAGCACTTGACGTGATGCTTGGGGAGCTTGGGTAAGAAGCCGTGGAGATATAATGGGAGCTTGACTGGAATGAAGGCTGGTGATAATGAACAGCTTTGTGGTAGACTGAAGGGTATTGGTAGCCAGGGCTTGTATAACTAACTTTGCTCTGATTTTGAGGTAGCTTTGTTGGGCCCCTGGGGTAGGTATCTGATCCAGATAGTGGTGGGCTAACTACCATCTGTGCGCGATCATAATCCACCTGAAAAAGTGAAAATACGTTTGTTAAAATACTGCAGTCCATCCAGATCTGCTGCCAATGACAATGATATGAAGAGTGCATTAAATCTTATGCTATCTATCAAGTCATATGTCAGTTCCTTGGACAGTACAGCTGACTCCACAGCAGCCTCTTACTTTTGATTGGGTATTTCTAACTTCCTCTGTTTGTGGCCACTTGGCTAAAGAAAAAAGTTTTTATCATTCAGACTACAATGTCATTCCCCACTGTTTGGTTTTCAACATAGTTCTTTCTCTGAGTCGCTGATGTAGCAAAGATGGGAGCTGGAGAGACACTAAGTAAAGATCCATCATCCCTGTAGCATTCTCCATTATGTGCTTTAGGTTTTGGTGGAATACTGTCAATCTGCTTATACCCTGGTTCATAGCTTTACTGTTATTATTGCTGGGAGAAATGTTTTTGCTAACTTTTGGGAGATGAAAAAGAACCCTCTACTACCTAGCACTTCCTGTAATAATTTAATTGCTTGATCTATTTATCTCCCTGAATTAACTCCAGCTCTTACCTCTTCAGATGGTCTCTAGCCCCTGGATTTTCCATAGCATCTGGAAAGAAGTATTGAACAGTATCTCCCTTACATTACAAGCATAAAGCAAGAGGAATTAAATATAAAGTTATTTTTGTGTGTAGTTGTTATATATAATATCCCTTACCCAGGTGATCTCTGACACATTGCCAGCCTTACTGCCAGGCTAAATACCAGTCTTCCTATACTGCAACTATTAAGAGATGAGGTAAACTCCTGTACAGAGGAAGCCATTCACAGTATACAACAAACTGGTCAAGACTTGCAAATAATGGGAACTAGACCGTAATCCTAAATTTCAGCAACTGGTTACTTGTCTATTCACTTTTGGCTTCCCATATCACAGACTTGGCTGGATGGAAGCTAGAAGGCTGGTCCCTCTCCAGTGGTGTGGATGGTAAGCTCTTGCCAACTGAGTGGTGCCATATGACACTGTGGTCAAAGGATCTCAGTATTTGAAGTGGGGGGAGGGGAGACTGACAGCATAGGCAGACACTTTCATATGGGTAGATCCCATTCACATGTAGGACAAGTTGGACCACTCTCTCCCATTGTTGGCTGCTACTCTCTGTATAGCTGGAGCACTGCACTGGAGAGCTAGTTCAATTTTCCTATAATAGCACTAATAGAGTATTTATGGCTTAAAATGGCAATGTTGCATTCTTTTTACATTCATGGTAGTCACAATATAGTGCTGTAGGGGTCTTCCCATAATTCCTACAAGATGACACAGAACCATCATAATTCTTACCAATAACATTAATGTAAGTAGAAAGGGTGACTGCTGTGATAGATGAAATAAACAATAAACAGAAACCATAGACGTTCAGGCTAAGATTTTGCCCCAAGGAGGTGAAAAACAATTGTGATGAGGTGAGCAAATATCCTATTTGATATGGGGATATGATCTTCACAGTCTTCAAAGGGAGTCCCTTCAAGCAAGACATAATGAGAAGTCTAATTTAATTTGCCATTCTTAAATCATTTTCCAACGTGACAAACTACTTAACTGTAGGGTCACAAAGCCACTAATTTTCTTTTGAAATCAGAGACAATCTGAGAGGAAACTATCTCAATAGGAGGCTTTAAAAAAGTGCAAGCATTATTTCTTTTTGATGGAGAAACAGCTAAGGCATTCCTACTTCCATGTATAGGTTCCTTTTTTAGCGTTTCCAAGCTTCTTGTGTCTAAAGTAAATGGGTACTTTACCTTGTGAAATAAAAGCTTTATCATCCCTGTCTACACTCAAACCCCCAAAAGTATGGGAGAGGGCAAAAAAACAATTCCAGCCAATTCTGAAAGCAAATAATTCACAGTTTATTACACAGCAAAAATAGCTCATGACAATGTGTGTAACCTCTCTGAGGGGGGCTGGGGTGGTTAGACACAGGCTCATGATGTAGCACAATTACAAATAATTATAACGATGAATTCATTTAATCAATCAATTTCACTGGCTGTGCACAGAGGTGGACAGGGCATAAAACTCTACACAGCTCTTGGTTGCTACTATTACTGCTGGCTCTCTGCCAGGAGTCCCCTGATCCATGTTAGTTAAATGCACATTAATCTGAATTTGGCAGTGTAATCAAGGACCCAACTGAACTGTGAAATTGAATTCTGCAGTGGAACATCATTTGACCATTTTATGCTAAGACTGCAAAAAAAAAATCTGCCGCAGCATCAATTTATCACTGTAGCCTGCTGCACAGTGAGAAGGAGCTTGTGGCTGAGGTTCCCTAGTGGGAGGAAAAAAATCTCAAAGCTCAAAATCACATCAGTATTTTGCAACATCATGTATAACACAGGCTTGCCCATGTCATGGGCAGTTTTAGGAGAAGGGTTTGCATGCTCTTGAGCAGCTGCTTTAATATTCCTCTTTGCCATATGAAATGAGATTCTTATTCTTTGTCATGGCTCTTCAGAGCCCTATGCAAGGCTGGCTATCAACCCATTACATGCAGCACGCTTCTAACACAAAACAGCATCATACTTACAGTAGTATTTAGTTCCTGAAGAGACTGATTTTATATGAGTAAAAGACAGAAATAATGATGGCAATGATTTCACTTAAACCAGCAAGCAGAGCTTTATAAACCTGGGAAGGGGGTAGAGATACCTTGAAGTCCATGAGGGATTTTGCTGTTGTCAATCTACTCTAACATAAGAAAGCATACAGTAGTGGAGTCCAGAACAGTTATACAGGACATGCAGGTTGCTGATCTGAAATTTAAACTTATGGCTATTGGCATGTTTTTAAATATTTACAAATGAAAATGAGTTGGTCCAAAAAATCGAATGAAAAATATGGCATTCTTGCTGACACATTTTTAAGTTTTTCAAAACTAGCATTTCATAACTGGGCTTACAATACAATCCAATCCAAGATCATTCACATTTTGAATGCCAGAAAATTTTACAAAAATATAAGATAAAGCCCTGACACCAGCAAATCTCTCCTTATTAATATTATCTCAACACAGTTCTTCAGATTACTGCAAATTCAGATAGATAGTCTTTCACAAATACTTCTATTTAAATTATTGCATTCAATTAACTTCTCTGGGGAAACACTTTACAGATGAAGGGGGAAGCAAAAACGATTGAGGCCTTACTCAAGATCAGGTCAACAGCACAGATTACGTTTTGACACAAAATCCATCAAAGCACTGCAGTGAAATGGAATACACTTCTGCTGCTGTGCGGGTTGGTTCACTGACTCACATTATTACTCAAATGTGCATGTGATAACGTCAGCATTCAGGCTTTTATCTGTAAAGAAGTGGATTTTGCAAGGTGCTTAAACTCACTTTACTTTCTGCACTAGTACAATAATGCAAATCATGTATTGCTAGTCCATAAAGATATATGAAATGTTATTCAGAAACAACAACTGCTTATTCATTATGCAAAGCAAGGCCCTGCTCCTATGATGCAATATGTGGGGGCAGATCCTTTATCCTCCTGCTGAAACAGCAAGAAGGGGCAATGTAGAACACACCTGTCACAGAAATAGATTACTCAGTCCTCCAGCTGAAAAATCTGGTGATGTGATGGGCAAGGAAGGACCCAGGTGGACTGCAGGGGAGAATCCTTTAAGATATAACCCATCTTCCAGAAGAGATAGATCATAGTTTCATAGTTTCTAGGGTCGGAAGGGACCTGAGCAGATCATCTAGTCCGACCCCCTGCCAAGGCAGGAAAGAGTACTGGGGTCAAACGACCCCAGCAAGGTGTACATCTAACCTGCTCTTAAAAACCCCCAGGGTAGGAGCCTGCACCACCTCACTTGGAAGTTGGTTCCAGACCCTAGCTACCCTGACCATGAAATAGCGCCTCCTGATGTCTAACCTAAACCTACCCTCTGCCAGCTTGTGACCGTTATTCCTGGTCACTCCTGGCTGTGCTCGGGGGAACAGGGACTCCCCCAATGCCTGCTGATCCCCCCTGACTTGTTTATAACAGGCCACAAAATCCCCCCTCAGCCTTCTCTTTTGGAGGCTGAACAGGTTCAGGTCCCGTAGCCTCTCCTCATAGGGCCTGCCCTGCTGTCCCCTGATCATGCGAGTGGCCCTCCTCTGGATCCTCTCGATGCTGTCCACATCCCTCTTGAAGTGTGGCACCCAGAACTGGACACAGTACTCCAACTGCGGCCTGACCAGTGTCGCATAGAGGGGGAGGATCACCTCTTTCGACCTGCTTGAAATACATCTGTGGATGCATGACAAGGTACGGTTGGCCTTCCTAACTGCCTCCCCACACTGCCGACCCATGTTCATCTTGGAGTCAATGATGACTCCAAGATCCTTTTCCGCCTCCCTGCTGACAAGAGGGGAGTTCCCCAACCTGTAGGTATGGTGCCGGTTGTTCCTCCCCAGGTGCATCACCTTGCACTTGTCTGTGTTGAAACCCATCCTATTCTCATCCGCCCACCCTTGTAACCTGTCTAGGTCAGATTGTAGCCTGTTGCTTCCTTCTAGTGTGCCCACGTCCCCCCACATCTTAGTGTCATCAGCAAATTTGAACAGGGTGCTTTTTACCCCCTCGTCCAAATCACTGATGAAGATGTTGAACAGCGCGGGCCCGAGGACCGAGCCCTGCGGAACCCCACTGCCCACGTCCTTCCAGGTTGAGAAGGACCCATCCACTACCACCCTCTGGGTGTGGCCCTCCAGCCAGTTGGCGACCCATTTGACTGTGTGGGTGTCTACGCCACAGCCCCCCAGTTTCTTAATGAGAACGGGGTGAGAGACAGTGTCAAAAGCCTTCCGGAAGTCCAGGAAGACTATGTCCACTGCTACCCCTGCATCTAATGATCTGGTGATCTGATCATAAAAGGCCACCAGGTTGGTCTGACAGGACCTGCCACTGATGAACCCGTGTTGGTTGCCCCTAAGCATGCAGTCCCCTGCTGGCCCCTCCTGGATGTGTGCCA